CTCGCATTTCTTGCACAATACCAGACGGTCTTAACAACAGTTGGATGAACGCTGCCAAACAAGATGGAGCCAGAGAGAAAAAAAAATTAGCTTCTTTTTATTTGTGTGTGATAAAACATTCTACGGCCAAACATTGTTTATACATGCACAGACCTTAATGGATTTCAGAGCCACGTACATTTAGTTCTTTGTATTTTTGAGGAATTACATGACCTGAACTGACCGTCTTGCCTGTACTTTGTCCCTTTCATTCCCCTCCCCTCCCCTTTCTCTTCTCTCCCCCTCTGTCGTCTCCATACTGTCATCAGACACAAGACTTCATCCCTCTTCCTATTTACATGGTAATGATCCTCTCAGGTGTTCTCATCAGAAAATCTGTTTATTTTTAATTTTACCAAGCTTTGTTGCGAGTAGAGAGATGGTATTGAATGTCCTGTCCTGGCCTCCGTGTGGCCAGCCATGCATGCATTGATGCGCCTAGCCTCCGTTGTCTCCACAGCTCTGACTCTAAAGTTCGCTGCCGACGACAAGAGATGTTTTTATAGTCACGGATACTTCAGCTAATTTCGGAAACCAAACGAGAGAGAATAACGTCCCAGCTTGGATTGGGAGAAATTCAGGAAACTCGGCATACCATGAATAAACATAGGTTGAAGTTCAGGTGTGAATTAAATTCAGTTTTGAATTTAAAGGGGAAAAAATTAGGCCAAGCTGTTTACTTTTATTCAAGGAATTACAAAAGAGTAAAAAAAAATACTGCAAACTGCTTATGAACTGGAGTGACCTAAAAAAATATACAAAATATATAAGTTGGCAAGGCCTGACATTTTGATCTTAGCAGAATCGTATCAAACTTCAAAGGAAGTTCATCGTGCTAACTAAAAGTTGATGTAAAAATTTGTCGTCAATTTTTTAAATGAGCAGAAAAGGGTCATCTTGACTTCCTGAAATTGTTTATGCGAGAAAGATAAAAAAAAATGTAAGTGCCAATATTTATTGTCCTATCTCTCTGAATATCAGAGTGCAATCCATCACAGAAATGGACTTGTGACAAGTATATTTCTTTTAAAAAGGAGAAGAAAATATACTGAATTATACCCAGCAGCTGAAATGTGGCCGTCATCACCAAACCATCTCAAATGCTTTGCCCACTTTGCTTCGTGAGTGAAAGGAATCTCCTGCAGGGAAGTGTGCTAGTTTCCGAGATACGGTAGTCATCAATAACATAGGTTCTATTCTCAGTAGCCATTTTGCTCTTACATACTTTAAGTGTACTCTGTTTCTTGCAGTTAGGGTTGATAAACTTCCTTTTTTCTGGGGTACAAACTGGGCTTGTTTCTGGAACTAGTTGGTTGTGCCCTTCAGTGACGACAGAAAGGTTTAAATAGAAAGAACTGCAGGTTTGTAGATGCTGTTTTTGCTGGAAATCTCAATACCATTATCAATTTTGGTAAATACTGTTTCTTGATTTGTTTAAGTTATTTAAATTTCTTGAGCTAAGTTTCACAGTTAACTGAACAATATAAGAGATACTTTGTGAAGTGGTCACATGTTTGTCCATGCCTGCTCTCATGTCCTATACATGGACCTCAGCTGTTCTATCTCTTCACAAGTTCTCGGCTAAATAGATTGCGTCTTTCATTTCACTTTAAATGGCTTGGAGGAAATCCAGCCTTAGCGTTCCATCAAATGATCAGTTATTTCCAGAGCGTCTCCTACGTGGCTAGCCTGCCTGCAGTGTCAAGTCCGTGAATATAAAGTCGCAGAGATGACTGTGTTACCGGTAACCCTTACAGGCTTGGCCAAATCCTGGAGACTCGCACCTCAAGAAAGACAGAAAAAAACCCTGCGTGTGTGCCCCAATGCGGGGGCTACATGATTAAATCTTAATAGTGGTGGTTCACTGTGCAGTAGTGAGTTTTCAAACTGACATAGGATAACAGTGATACGGGGGGAAAACCTCAGGAAATGTCATTTATTTTTTAATGACCATGCTCAAAGATACAATAGATGTTGGCTTCTTTGCTGTTGGCATGACGATGATGAAAGAGTGTTTTGGGATTCGCTAAGGTAACAGAAGTTCATCGTTCTGAGCTACAGTTTTTTTAACCTCTGAAGACAGTTGTCCTTGTAAATTCGATATCCGGTTTGTGATGTGGCATTTCTTCTAGCTGTCTAAACTTAATTTCCAAATATTTTGGGGAAAGTGTCATTAATGCTCCCTTTTTTATTTTGATTTACTGTTGCTCAGTGTGTCTGTGTGAATAAAAATCAAGTTGAATTCATTTGCAATATCACTATACTTGTTAATAAATTGCAGGCTGTTTTTAATGTTTTTAAATTTCTTTATACAGTAGCTACTCTTAAGATCTCTGTAAATGTGTCCAAAAAATTGTAATAAGATGTTCTAAAGTTGACTAATTCCAGTTATCTCTGAAAAATGACAAACCGAATAGAACCTTTTATTTTGGAACAGGTAGAACCGATAAGACAACATCAGATCTTGAAGGTTTCTAATTACATTCATTGGCTTTCTTAATTCCCAAAGCCGTGTATTTTCACACCAGTGAGCCGCCAACGGTAGTATGAGTCTTGCCTACTAACTTGCCCAACATCCACTGTATACCTCACATCTCAGTCTGTTGACTGAGCTTCATAAAGTATGCAGAAGCCTCGCGTTTGGCTGGGGACTAATTTACCGGTTGACACCACGAAGAGGGCGATGCCTTCTCGCTGTGTCTTCCCCATCCTCTAGCTCCCTGAAGATCTGGGTCACATGTAGGTAGCGACTCTGTGCTATGAATATCATGAATGTGGACCTTTCTTGTAGAGATTTGTAGCATAAGAGCAATGTCTTGTTTCTTGTGAATTGTATTTGGAAGTGTCGAAAAATCAGGCTGTCGAATCTACATGTAGTTGATAAACTGTTGACACCGAAACGGACCTATTTGTTTTGAAACAAGCTTCTCTACCTATCATTGACTTCATGTCCACTTTTTAGAAGAAAAATAATCATGTTAAAAAGCAAATAGGACAATTTTTATTGTATAATTCAAATAATAATGGAACGTTAAAAAAAAAATGGTGTTGAAATTTCATCTTTGTGATTCTGAACCTTACCATAAAAATGTAAAACCCTCCACAAATTTAGACTTTCCTCACGTGTATGGAGTACCCAAATCATACTTGCAGAATTCGTTTAAAAAATGTTAGTTACTGCAGATTTTTATTTCTTTTTTTAATGGGAACAAATTTCCAATTGTTTGAGATTTCATTTCTTAATTTGTGTTGGCAAATTTCCAGTGGTTGTAGATTTTTATTAGTAATTTGATGAATTTGTTTAACCAAAATTTCACTAGTGATTGCCAAGGCGCCTTAGTTTAATGAAAGGAAGTGCTGATGAAGGGTTTAAAACCTAGAAGTCATTCACCTTGAGTTTGCCGTCAGTCAAAAGATTACGACAGATCATCGCATACCAGTATCAAGACGAAAGAAAAAAAAAGAAACGAAGAGAAACTGGCGACACGCAAACGTCTCCAATTATCTGTTTTGCTGGGCAGAAAATAGCAAGATGAATTGCTTTGTAGGATGAGTAAAGAGGGTCTTAATTCAAGCAGGAAAATGATGATTTGTTTTCAATTTGGGGGGATTATCTGGCATAGTTGCCCTCGGGGTTCTAGTATTGGTCATGGGGTGCACAGGTGCAGTATGGGTAGCAAAGACGTCGGTAGCGTGCCGATCATGTTAGCCTCTGCTTGTGAAATCGATAGTTGGTCATCGTAAAATTGATTTTAGCTACCATTAAAAGCAAGAATAATAAGAATAGGGTGGGTGGGGGTTTGTGTCTGCAGGGATGTGGTTTTCATGTTTACCTACTCATTTCCTTCACATTTATTATTTACTTATCATTGTGGTAGTCCTCATTGGTAATTGGCCCCTCTTGTCATTAGAAATGTTGATCAAAACTTTTCCGTTGAATTTGGTACAAAGCTTCACATTATAATTGTGGTTTAAAAGAAAAATAAAGTTAGTGTCGTAAGACGTTAGCTTCTATACCTCAAAAAATTGTGAAATACTGATGAAAACATGCATAGAATATAGTGAGTAATTTATTTGAATTTTTGTTTACATCAGATATGATTTTTCATAGTTGTTGGAAATTTACTGTGGGATACATACACTAACTGAAGTTTTTAGTCAAATTTTAGTGCTGTCTTGTAAAGCATAGTGTCCTACTTAGGGTTTGGGGATTGGCATTGCAACAGATCCTCTCAAAATGGAAACTTTCCAACAATATTTTTGTGCCAAACGTTTTTATTTTCGGCAGGGTTTTGTGTCTTGTTATCTCAGCCAGCAGGTTGTGGGAGAGTTGGGTGTTTCTTGAGGGGGCAATGCCCGGGCCTTGAGATCCTACCCACAGGGACCCTCCCCCAATCTATGAGATTCCTTCTCTATTAAATGTCGTCGGACACAGATTATGATGTGGCTATAAGTCCACTCCAAAATGGTGTCAACTCCAATTAGGCCAATTTGCCTAGTTATAACCCATACACTAACCCTCCTGTATCGTCACCTACCACTCTAGTCTTGCTGTATCACTATGCTGGAGTCTAACCCTAGGTGCTAAGGGGGGAAGGAAGGGGGTAAGGTAGGATACAGAAGGGGTCAATTACCTTAGGGTTGGGGCACCAAGTGTTTAGGGGAGACAGGTCATGTGTTCTTTTTGGTGGCGTCTTTTCAATGCGGCTCAGAATTAAAATTTATTTAAGGATTTAATGTCTTAACCTCACTTGATTGCTCAGTTAAAGATTGTTGTCTCTGTCTACAAAAACAAATCAAAGTGATGAGAGATGGTTAACAGATGAGAATTTAAATCATTAAAATCAGAAACTTTCATTCCTGTGTTTATTTCTCTGAAACAGCAATATTTGCTCTTTTTGAGTTCATTGGTATTTCAAAAAAGCATCCTTTGTTTTCATTTTACCCACTCCTTCTGCAGGTTCTTCTTGAAGTTTTTCCTCAAGTGCAACCAAAACTGCTTGAAGAATGCTGGAAACCCAAGGGACATGCGACGGTTTCAGGTAAGGCATGGGGCTACCGTGCCGTCTGGCGATCGATGCACCAGACACCATTACAGAACCCTCCTCCCTGTGCCTCGCTTCTCCTCATCCACTGCCCATCTTCCTTCGTGCCCATCCTTCCCCGCTCTCCTATGTCAACACACAACTCGCTTCTAAGCATGTGGTTGCATGAGCGCTACTCCACAAGCAGGAAAAATAGGAAGTGCAGGATTTGTTTTGAAAAGGGGCGCTCTGAAATCGATGCTGGATTTATAAGTGGCCCACAATCAATAGCCCATTCCTTGCGGTAGCTACACAAACAAAAGAATACGGCTTGGAATATATAAGCACTAAGGACTTGTAATTGTTTTTGTCTTATTCTTCGGGGTTCGGTCTGAGGTCTTTAAGAAGTGTGTACTTGGTCATAGCCGGATGTCAGGGCTGGAGAATTGAAGAGTGGTTACGAGGAATTAAAAAAAGAAAGAAAAAAAAACTACGGCGAAACTGAAAATTGATTAGAAGTGATCCTTGCACACTGGGTCCATTTTGGCTATTCGGCGAAATTGGTGATCGAATCGGAGCTAGTAAAGATTTCTTAAGAGACTGTGAGATGTCCAGTGTTGACGATAAGTGAGAAGAATATCTCTTTGGTTTGATGAGTCAAGTACGGCCATCTTGTCAGTAGAAAACTATCGATTCCCTCCGAGTGCCTTATGGACTGCCAATCAGACGTATTTGCTCTGACGACCCCGCTAACTTGTTGTGAGTATCGGGTGGCAAGTCAAGGGAAATAGAACATGAAACCGTCCCCTGACCAAAAAAAGGAAAACAGTGGAGGAAAAAAAAAAGGCGTGAGTGCTGGATTAGCCAGAGTGTGAAAGCTGGCCGCGTTGCGCTATGATCGGGCTTAGCCCTGTTATTAAGGAAAAACATGTAGGCCTTCCAGCAATAGGTCCCTGTACCCTGGTGTGTTACGTCTTCTCATATCACAACCAGTGCCGCACCAAGGGGGGTTGATATAGTCGGAAGACATCTCAATTCAGAATAAGTACACCTATTGTGTTCGGTTGAAATGGAATTAACCCGAGCCAGAAATGGAGGGGAGTTAAATTCCTCTAAACTCCAGGAACCGAGGGTGAAATGACGTCTCCTGTGGGTAAAGGAATATCAACATTCATCAAAAAGATATGGATCTGTTTGGACAAAAAAATAGCCAGTAGAGATATGGCGGGCAAAGGTTCAGCCCCGTTTCAGTGTACTTTTATTCAAGAAGATTTGTATAAATAAGAAATTTAGAGTTTAAAATTGTGTTAAATTGACTTTGTGTTTTCCTTTAAATTAGAATGAACCTAATCTTTGAAATGGCTAAAAACTCTGAAACCTGAATCACTGTCTTGTTATCACAAACATCAACTGATAAAAGTATAAAGTGATATTTAAAATCATCACGCCATGTTTTAGTCATTGTCATATCTGTTGGCCGTAAAAGGAATACAAGAAATTAAAGGTCTTTTAAAACTGTTTGCAACTTGAACAAGTTTAACCAACATTGCGCACTTTCATGATAAAGGTATGTCCCTATGTCTTATGTTCCTCATATTCATCCACTGTAGGTTGTCATTTCAACCACGCCCAATGTGGATGGCCATGTCTTGGCCGTCTCTGACAACATGTTTGTTCACAACAACTCCAAACATGGCCGTCGAGCACGGAGGCTTGATCCTTCAGAGGGAGGTAAGACAATCTAGATTTCATTATCAGAGTCTTGTACTGTATTTGTCTTTGCACAGTCTGTGAATTCAATTGTTTTTACAATTGTTCTGTCAAAAGAAATTTGAAACTGTTCAAATTTATCTTTCTTAGGAGTGTCTCAATTTCAAACATGAACAGATAAATTCACTCAATTGCATACTAACTCATTTAAGAAAGAAAAGAACAAATGTTTTGATTTTTTGATGAAGTATCGCCAAATGACATTCAGTAGCATTGAAATAGTTTTATACATAAAGTTGAAAGCTATATAGAAATGAAAAATGAAGTTCCTGAAGTGGTCTGTTTTCAATTGCAGTTGTTTGCATTTAGTAAATTCTTTACTGTAGATGTTTTTAAAAATGTTATTTTTGACGACAGCCTGTTCTTTACACTTGATGGTAAAGAAGCGAATATGTTACTTGGGAAGATGATTGCTGTCCTGGGAGTACTTGTTAATGGGAGTAAGCTGTAGGTCTGATAATTCCCAGACATCAGTCCTCAATTTATTGCCTCTCTGACCATATCATGCATACTGGACAGGCTCCTTACACGTCTCTCTGATCACACAATCATCGTGCGGCAATTTGGACCAGAAAAACCTGGTTACGTATCACTTGTTACAACCCGGGCAACATATGAAAATCACCAGACCGCTTTGTAAACCAGGTAACCGTAGCGTTTCTTGGTACATATTCACGCCCTCGTATGCAGACACTCACAGATGCAACGCAGATGTAGAAGTCGGTGACTCGAAACGGTTTGAGACGGGACTTAATTAAAGAGGATTGGGCGGATTACTCGCGTCTGTGTGAAGAGGGGAAATTTATGGGTCGGAATTGGGGCATCGACACCTGCGCTGTTTGTTCGTATTATTTAGCTGTCAGCGGCTGCAAATTTTTACAAGTAATGGCAGAAGGTGAGGTCAGTAGATGGAGTTGAAAAGTGTGAAATGAAAACAAACTGAGGATTAGTCTGTCTATTAAAGGCCTCGTCATTTTGAACAACTCATTTCATACTTCAGAACTTACGAAGCAAAGTTGGGTTAAACTAGAAACATGGCCTCCGTTTAGAAGAGTTCACCTGAGGGGTGTTTGTGTCTAAGATGAAAGTTGTCCTACACGCAAGGTATCGGCAGAGTTCAGTGGCCTGGCAAGTTTTGTTCACACGACAGTCATTTTTCAAGCTTTACGGCAAATCTAAGTCTTCTTTAACACATACGCCACAAATCAATCATCATCATTATCATTAGTGTTTGCTTAAATCATCTCTGAACAGTCTTTAAAGTTTGGTGCGTTGACCTGTGATGTGGGTCATAAATCAAATGCTTACCAGGGTCCTTCACCAAGACTAACAGTTTGAGACCTGGGGTCCATCTCTTAGCCCATTGTTAAGACGGCAAGTTACACCAAGATTAGAAAATCCTGTCAACAATAGGCAGGAGGAGTAGTAATGATGAGCCGTGTTTTGTTGGGAGATCACCCACCGTTGGAAGCCATTGTCCAGTCGGACACTTTATCAAAGTGCGGCAAATCGCTAGTGATTCATCCCCTCGGCCTTGGATAAAAAATACCAGCACTGCCCCGAGTCATTGTTGGGTTGCTTGTTTTGGATGCCACGGGGAGCGATCTGCAAAAGCATCCGTGATACAATGAAATAACAAATTGAAAGAAAGAAAAAAAGGGAAAAGAAAAACCGGCGCTTCAGGGAACTCATCTCCTCTGACTAGAAACTAAACTGTTTACGTCCTTCTCTGTGGTTGATGTCATGTTATGTGTTTGGGAGTTGTAAGAGTCTTTACTGGACAAATGTTGACACCGTGCATTCAAGAAAGATCTTTGGTAAACACTCCACTGTGGAACTGAAGAGACACTGTCCAAAATAGCCAGGAAAACTGAAGAAATGTTTCAGTTACTAATGTTTTTTTTTCATTAGAAGAAAATTGAAAGTAGGACGTATTCAGATAGTCAACTTAAAAAGAGGCAAAATGAAATGCACACAATTGTCTTAATTTAATAATGGCACAAGATTTACTTCTTAATTTTGTGATGGTTTGGCTCGACATCTTTATTTCATATGCCCATTGTTGGTCAAAATCCTTGGAATGCAATAACAATAATTGTCATTGCCTATCTACATGTATATGAATGCATATTATATCATTGTGAATACCTTGTAAAAAAATTTTTTTGATTGACATTTTTTTTGATTGGAACCATGACTGAATTCAATGGTAAAATTGGTCTCAATAACCGACTTGAAATGTCTTGAATTCATCAGAATGCGCATTTGTCTAAACCTTCTAGTTTTGAGAACATTCGGCGGTTGTGTAGCTGACTGTTGGATGGTTTGATTGAGATGTCAAGATTATATCCTTGTTTATCCTCACTGACAGGTGTTGTAGTACTCAGTCAGACCTTAGGATTACAGATCAGACACCTGTGGTAACAGTAAATCCAGACCCAAATCCAGTCATCTAGACCCAAAATTTTAGTCAGATTTGGCTCAAAAGTATTTTAAAAATTAAATCATGCCAAACTTTCAGTATTTGATTTTGGAAACATTTGGCATTTTATTTTGGGGCATTCAGCTTGATAAGAATATCTTCCTTGGTATTATGGGATAGAGTTAGTGGGTTTTGGTTAGCTATAGTCCTGCAGGCTCCTCTGCCTTTAATAGGAGCCCAAGAATAGGTGTCCATCCAAACTATAGTTTCAACCTGACCGTTCTTTCGTTCAACCAGTTTTTCATAAATGGTATTGTAATTCCTAATTCCATTTATTGGAAACTTTCTGCCAAATTCTGTTGATCGTCAAGTGGATGTCATGTTTTCCTTTAAATATTCCGTATTTTCTGCTTGATATTAAATCAATTAATAAACGAAATCAGTAAAAATCAATAATTGAAGAATTTCATAATTGTCTCCATAAAAAATGGCTTCCTCGGTTTGCAAAAAAAAGTAAAACATTAAGAGGGGACTTTCTAGTGACATTTCCACCATGGGCCAGATTTAGGTGTGTTCCTCTCGAACATAGACACTTGGTTTGGGAAGAATCAAAATATCAGAGCCTCATCTTTAACGATTAATATGTTACAACAACATTTCCAATTCTGCTGATATCCTCTTATCCTAGCTACACCATGCATCAAAGCCATCAGTCCCAGCGAAGGTTGGACAACTGGCGGATCCACTGTCATCATCGTTGGGGAAAACTTCTTTGATGGACTTCAAGTCGTCTTCGGTACCATGATTGTATGGAGTGAGGTGAGTTTGATTGGGTTTCATGTTGATTACTTTGTTCTAGTTGCTGCATTATGTTGTCAGTTTTCCTGTTACTTTGTAGTTTTATTATTATCACTGTCCTGACTTTACTCTGATGTGATTCGTAGTTGTTCGCCTATATGTACTTATCCTCAGGCAGTTCAGGTTCAAACTTGTAGAAATAGGTATTTCCCCCGAAGATTTAACGGATAAGTTTGAATGCTAGATAAGTTTTGCACTATGTATTCCCAAATGATGCCAAAAAAGGTCTTTTTACCGCTGCAATAAAGAGAAGAGAGTGACAACAGAAAATAAGATGGAGACTCACGAGCTGAAAAATGCAGGAGATGAAAAAAGCTGTGGAAGGTTTTCTGTGGTTTAAAAAAGTCGTCATTGAAGATCAAGTCAAAGAACTATAGCAACAATAACTGCGTGTGGATTGGTTCTTAAACTTCACCATCAATAGGAGAAGAAATCTGACAAATTTGTTCCTGTTTCCCCTCCACAAGGAATTGCATTACATTTGTACTATTGTCTATCGTCGCTTGGGTGAAGATTACTAAGGTTGACGTCCGTTATAAAAATCTGAGTTTCTCATTCAGACATGTTTTTGCCTGAGGCTTTTGCTCTTACATGCCAGGACTTAATTGAAAGTCGAGTTTGGAGAGATTTCTCCAAGGATGGGATGTTGTCTTCTCTTCTGACAAAATCTTAAAAAGGAAAAGAGTAAAAGAAAGAATTTATACTCTGATCATCATGGGGTTCTTTTCTGCAGGACCATTGTGCCCAAATCGTTAATCATCTTGGTACTTAAAAATATGAAGCTGGATTATCAAAAGACTTGTCTTTGTTGGCAGGAACAAAAAAATCTTGATTGTCCCGAATTGTTGTTGTGCCTAGTAACAGTTTAATAGTTGGAATCTAATCCTGAAGCTGGCCTACTTGTTGGTTTGATGAGGTGAAGTTGGAGGGACATAGGGAATTACATATTATTCATCCAGGAATTGCTAAGTCATTGATGAGAATGAAGAGTTCTTAAATGAGCGATTCCTGGGCTTTGAACTCTGCTTTTTCTCATTTTGGTTAAGCATCAAGCCCTACTTTACAGACAAAGCCCTTTTGTGTTTAGGAAGGAACGAGGAGATTGGGAAAGTAGCGTTTCAACTTGGGATTTAACTTCTTGGGATTTAACTTCCGATCAAGAAAGTTTGACTTTGCATCGCCAAAAGTGGCCATTCATCTTTAGATTTTGTTTGTTTCCTTGAGTCTTTACACCAATTTTTGTTTTTAGCCAATACTGAAATGTTCCACAAAGTGTCATACTGGTACAAAAACTACTGAAGATTATCAAAACTGTTAGATCTGATTTAAGAACTGTTACTTTTAACTTTTTAATTTTTAGAAAACAGAAGTTTAAAATGCTGGCTCTCTGCCGTCCTTCGGAGCATTATCGTTCTGACTGCATCTGGCCACTGCTAAAAAGGTTGTGGGCTGTTTTGTTTGAATAAGCCGACTGACGCACCCATAATTCCTTTTGTTTTGTAGCTGATCACCGCCCATGCCATCAGAGTCCAGACCCCACCCAGGCACATCCCTGGGGTAGTGGAGGTCACCCTATCCTACAAATCCAAGCAATTCTGTAAGGGTGCTCCGGGACGATTCGTATACGTCTCTCTCACAGAACCCACCATTGATTACGGTTTCCAGCGACTCAGCAAACTGGTTCCCAGACACCCTGGTGACGGAGACAGGCTTCCTAAGGTTAGCAATCTTGTGACGTTCAGTTAGTTTCTGCTACCGAATCATAGAATTTTAATAATCGTTCATTAAAGTTCTGACTGTCAATTCTACTCTTTTATTTTTCAATTGTCTAATCTTGTTCTTACAGGAGATAATTCTGAAGCGAGCAGCAGATTTAGCGGAGGTCCTGTATGGAATGCCTCGCAATCAGGTCCCGATTCCTGCCCCTCGCTCACCGGCCATCAACAACTCCAGCGGAACTGGTGGTCTGGTTCCTATGAACTCCTTCAGTAGTCAACTGTCTCTCGGTGAACACGATGGAAGCGGAAGTGAACAACAGTCAGGTAAGATAAGAAAACCTTCAATCATCTCATACTTGTTTCCTTTCGGGAGACATTCGGAGCTCCATATTTTTGGTTGAGAAATAACTTACTAATTCTGATCAAATCATGATGATAATCGGGCATGTTTAAACTAGACTGATTCATGTTTGAATCAGCCAGCCCATAGAAGGGAGCTTGGACTGAAAAATTCTGTTTTAACATTTGTTTTTTATTTTGACTTTTTCACTTTAAAATCAATCAATGTTCTTTTATCAAAAAGCACAGAGTTCCTGGTCACCCCCCCCCCCCCACCTGTACCTGCGACCCTTTATTGGTGACCCAGATTACCATCACATCTACAAAGTGAGCAACAGTCCTGGTTGCTCACTTTGTAGGCGTGATGGAAGACATCAGTTCTGGAAGTGTGTCATATTTCTCAAGGAGATTGGGCAAGGTGTGAAGTTAAGTTGAATGAATTGGAGTCAAGGTTGGGGGGGGGGGGCCTTGAAATGATGGGTTAGCTTCTCTTTGATGAAAACACTCTAAACTTTGACATATTTGGAGGTGAAATTGCAGTTTCAAAAGCTTGTGTTTTTTCAAGAAACTTTCTTGAAAGTACACTTTGGTGATCAAGTCTTCCTTTGTCCTGCCATGTTTTCCACAGGTTTTTCCCGCGTTCAACCCAGCAGTGCATTATCCCCCCGCGGGTACTCCTCCGGTATCTCCACACCTCATAGTAGTAACGGAAGCACAGGGTCTTACTCCAGTATGAATGGCTACGCCAGCGCCAGTAATCTCTCCAACATGACCATCCCATCCTCACCAAGTCTCTTCAACGGAACCGCCAGTAAGTACTGTCGTGGTCTTCTCTTGCATTAGTCACTCAAAAACCCACTCCTCCAAAGACTTGTTCTCGGGTACTTTTTGTCAAGCATGAGTTTAAGTACTTTATCTACAAGTACATGTACCTTCTTGTGATATGTCAATCGTTGAGTTTAAAACTAAGTACGAGTTAATGACTTGTGAGTACTGATATGAGTACTACCAAATCGAGTACTTAGTACACACTGACAAGAATGAGTACATGACGTGAGTAGTCCAGAAAAAAAAGTACTCGAGTACGAGCAAGATGAGTACAACTCTGCTTCATCAAGACGATGTCTGATAGTTTGTGTCTGTAGATGTAAGATATAGGACTTGCCACCAATCTCTGTAGCCGAGAGGTTGAGAGACTGGTTCCTTTCTGTCACTAGGCATGAAGATGGTTGAGACCAATAGGTGCTAGACTTGCAGTTAGAAAGTTGAAATTTGGTTGGAAATATTGAAAGAGGAAAGGACTGATCAAGTTTAATTTAACTCAACATGATGGGCTGAGTATTTTTGTCGTTAATCATACTATTAAGAGAAATCTTGAATCAAAGTTGATGTTCAGAATTCTTGTATTTTGAACTCGATGATGAATCAACCCTCATTCTTTTCAAAGTCTAGTATCAACTGGTTTCAACCAATTTGAACTAGATTTAGATAAAACTGTATCTACTTTTGTACATGTGGCAGTGGGATGTGTTTGTCATCTCAATTACTTATCAATACAGGGTAAATGACGCAAGTTTTTCTGCCCCCTGAATCTATCAGGGACAGAATAGATTGTTTTGTATTTACGGTGTGCAAATAAATGACCAAATTCGTTGTTCTTCATTAATGTTTGTTACTGATGTGTAAAAAAAAAAATGATATATCCCTAGATTGAACTGTGGGAAAAGATGATATCATATTTGAACAAATGCATATAATTGTTTTAAATGTTACAAGTCGAAAGTAGGGCTGTCATTTTAAATGTACAAATACAGCGGTTTAATGATTATTTTGAGTAGCGTCTATAGTGATACAAGTTGACCAGATCTTTGCACGAAAAAAAATAAAAATTAAGGAAACGCCAAAATTTCAAAAAAGTCCAAAATAGTTTTTTAATCTGCAGAGTAGCATCTTTGAAGAACTTATCAAGGCATGAAGCAGTACGGAAATAATCCATATCGCACTAATAGAAAAAAATTGGCTTACAATCGTGCAGTTTGTACGTTCTACTGATTGCATTTTGTTTCCCAAAGCAAGAGCAAAGTTGCTCTGGGACACTGAGTGACAAATAACTTTGCCTCAAGGATTTTTTTCCTAAGCTAAGTATTCTCCGAGTACAAAATGAGAGAGAGGTTTCTTTTTGTGGTGTAGTCTCCCGTCTCCTTGTGTAGGCCCCAGTAGCCTCGCTACACAATACTCCCTATTCACTGAGTTCTCGCCTGCCTAAGGCTACTTTCAAACTCCACTTGTTAATCTCATAATTTCGGATATTGCTTTCAATTTTTTTCTCTTCTCCCTGTTACAAGTCCCGACTGTCAGAGACTGTAAGTTTAATGCCACATTCATCCGTACAATTTGACAAAACAACCCGGGCCGGTATACAACAGGTCCTATGCATAATGTGCAATTTGCAGAGTTTTCCAACAACGACTTTATAAGATTTTCTCAAGAAATGGGCCGGCTAATTGCACGGATGGAGGGACTTTTGACGGGTATAATTTGATGAATTTGACAGGTTTTGTGGCACGGCAGGGACTTGTGACTATTCCCTCTGGTCTCCCAACATCCCTCTTGGCACGTCAAGTCGTACTCTTGAACAGTCACATTAAGCAATCAGCCTCAGTCAGCATTGTGCACCGTCGCACGTGAGCTCGGTAAATGGCCGAAAAAACACGTCCCAGTGAAAAAGCTTTAAAAAGGAAAGAAGAAAAAAAAAGAAATTCAGCTTGGTGTAAGCTCACTCACAATCACAGACTTCAATTTTGTAGCTGTGCTTTTTTCTTAGACTGTGTCGCCAACAGGTATAATAACTCCACAGTAGCTGTCTCATTGACAATTTTCCAGCGATACTCCCAACCGTTGGTTATGGGTTGCAAGCTGGATTTCCTAAGAGATTTCAAAATGAAATTATACAAGCCAGCCTCTCAGCATAGACATCCATTCAAAACGGACTCTAGGCTTTAAAGCTGTGTAGAGATCACCTTAGAATCACACACCTATACACATCATCGTCTTCAAATCTGCATCATGCACTCTTAGTTATTTTCCTTTTTTTTTTTTGCTTTGATGGATTCATTTTGTTTGTCCGTTAGCTGCCGTCCCTTCCTCTTCTCCATCGTCACTACCTACCCACCCCCCTCCCAGCAGTAACGGGACTGGGGGTTCCGCCTCCCATCGCACAGCCTCGGCCTCGCCTGGTCTATTCTCCTTCTCTCCAGCCAACATGATCACTGCCGTTAAGCAGAAGAGTGCGTTTGCCCCCGTGGTGCGTTGCGGTCCCTCCGGTAGTCCCTCCCCTGGTACGGGACCGGCCGGTTTGGCTGGTCCTATGGGGGGGACGTCAGGTGAGCGTGAGACACAAGGTGGGTGGTGGGTTTGGGCATGACTCTACTCCCTGCGCTTGCTTTTTGACCCCTCCCCCTCTCTCCCCCCTCCCCTCACACCCCCCCCCCCCCCACACCTCATTCTCAGTACAAACATTCTGTTCGTTCCAGCCTCTACCATTGCTGCTAACCCAATCAATGTTCCCTGCAGTATTTGCTTTTCTTTTTCCTTTCATTCATGCTTTACTTGCCAAGTGAAATCATTCTATTTCTATCTTTAACTAACCCAAAGTCAAATCATTCTATTTCTATTTTCATCTAATTTTATGCATGCTTCGTTTCTCTCTGTCGCTAATATCTTGCACTCTCCATCCATTCATCCTGCCACTCTTTGATGACTGTTGCCATGCCAACAAACCCACCACCTCACCTCTCAATGTCTCTCTGCTCATCAATATCTGATATCAATCAATTGATTGATTATTGATTATTGATCAAGCCGTTTAAATCCTTTGATTGACTCATTTTTACATTCGACAACGTCTACTTTTATTTGAAGTTCGTTTACTGTTCCAATTATTCTACAATCATTTATTATTATTTTTTTCATCTAGTTGTCAACATGTTCACGTTAATTGGAAGATTAATTGGAAGATGACATCAATTGTACCGATTCTTCAACTTTTCCAGCAAAAATTATGCCCTGTATTCCTTCATGAACTGCATGGTTCCCTGGCCTACTTCCCCTTGTAGTTGTCTCGATATATCTCTGCAACTAACTCATTAGATATAAAGCTGATTCACTCGACTAATCATAAATAATTCAAATTTCTCTTTCTTTATTTATTCCATGAAATGTACCTGTACTTTGAAAAGCATTTCAATCCTTATTTATTTTGACATTTGAAAGTTTGACTTTGAATCAAAATTCCACAAGGCTACCAGTTTAAATGTTTCATAAAATCATGCCAAAGTTTGCCAGTAATTGTCCTCAGTATATGTTGCAGCATTGTCTCAAGTTTAGTTGAAGATTCTGTTTTTAATACAAAGTTACATCTTTGAGTGCATTTGATTAGAACTTCAAGGCGCTTGACAATGACGTTATAAAGCTTCCGTTTTAACGCTGCACAATGAGTAATAGCCATTAAGCGTACTTGCCAATAATACAGAGTCTGATAATCGTATTGTACCCTACTCCTCGCCAACCCAGAGTAGTTCTCCAGCTAAATTGATCACATTACCTTGGCGATTCCTCCAGCCTTTCAAATCCTAACCCTTTACGTCAAAAAGACGTACAGCCCATACAATAATTTCTGCCACAGAAAACAAGCAAATCTTGTCTCTAATAACGTCGGCCTTTTGTTCCGTGTCCATTTCACCCATTTCCGCACAAGAAAACCCCGCATAGTCATTGAGAAAAACAGGCCTTCCTGTAATTGGATTAGCGTGTTTATTATTTACCCTTGATTTGCAGGCAAGGACTCGTCATGCCTCTCTGAAGGCCAATCATTTCCATTCAGAGTCCAAAAAAAAAAAAAAATTGTAGTCGGCGAAGGATAAGATGACAATGCCAGATTACTGTGCATTCCTTTGTCCTTTTGTTCCTATCTCCACTTGGCATTTTGACGTCTGCTTTGCAATCGTATAATTCCAATTGTGCGACTTCAATCCAATCTGAATTGATATTTAACTATCACATGTCCCCGGGGAGAATTATAGGACATGAATGCGTGCAGTTGGCAAGATCTATGGAATAGACGGCATTGAACATCAACAGCCAACAAAAATAAAAGAATATTTTTTGTTTGTCAATTGCTGTGAAAATTTGGAAGATAAGACTAAAAGATCCAAGTAGTACAGTCTAAATTTAAACATGAAAGAAGCACACTCTTTGGGAACTACATTTTCATGGAGGTTGCATCATTGTATTTAATTTATGAGTTCAACTGAGGTTCAGCAAAACAAGATCAGGAAATACAGGAGCTTAAGAAGGTAGTCATTACTGCCTGGACTGTTCTTGAGCCTGTAGTTGAAGCATTACGCAGCATTTCAAGGCACGGTCGCTTGCATGAGGCCATTATACCAGAGAGACTTGAACATTTGTAGTAGATTGTGAGTCATCTCTTCAAGCTATGTCTTGCTTTGTTGCCCAGCCTAAGATTTATCGCCGCTCGGGACACCCCCACGACACACCGCTAAACAATGAAATAGTCAGACTCTGACTGGATAATTTGGTGATATATGGGAGGGTTCTGATGACAGTAACCAGCTGAAACATTTATGGAGGGAAATTTTCGACACGCATTTTGCTGTCTTTCGCACTGCTTCAAGTATAAAAATCTGCTGTAATTTTATTCTGGTAGCCTGTGTAAAAGATCTGAAAAATATAAATTGCTTTTCACTCAAACAAGCCAAGAAAAGGACAGAATCCAACATGTATGAAAACAAAATTGTTTCTTGAATTGTAGTCACACCTGTTCAAGTGGCCTCTTTGACAAAACTTTTACCAAGCCTCGAGTAATTAGCTAGGTCGCTTGTTCAATGTTACCACCTGCTCATTATGAGTGTCATTTCTGGACACCTGCCAATAATAATGGCCACCTACTACTACCCTACTCCGGCCACCTGTCTTCTTTAACCACTCAATACAGGTGTGACTGCTGTAATGAAACAAACATTCGGCGCTTTCATCAGCAGAGAAGCTTACCCTAGGTCTTGTCTCTCTCCCCTTTTCTCTCTCCATCTGACATCCCATCTGTCACCCCCCTGTCCCTTACCCCACAGGGTCATCAACCATGATGTCTCCATCTTTCTGTGGAGTAGGGGGACCCTTTGCCCTACCTACATGCGGTGTACACACCTATGGCACACACATAGAAAGTCCCAGCAAGTAATTGGTCTGTCAGTTGGTCACTCGATCACACTGTCTGTCTGTGGGAAGACAGGTGACGTCTTTTAAATTTTGTGATGGGCCAATCACAGGGGACATTTGAAGGTCTTTAAAATCAAGCAGCAACTCATTATGAGCAGCTCTCTGCCATCATCTTAAAAAAAATCTTGAGACTGTCTGCAGATTACTTCCTGCCTCCTATTAATGCAATCTTGCCTGTAGGAGGTCAGGGGTTCCATGCCAGATCAAGCTCTTAATACAGGTTTTGTTTCTTGCGGATGCTAGCTCTCGCTGACGCTAACACATAAATTTAGCTCTCAAACACTGAACTGTGGGGGAAACAACCGTGGTATTACTTGTATGTCTTCAGCTGCATTTCTGAAATTATTTGCTTGTGAGAGAAGGAATAGTTCTTGGAGAATACATTTTGGATTAAAAGTCCATGAAAAGTGAAGATCTGGTCAACAATCGAATGCCAAAAGTAGTTTACAAACTTGTCAATGTCCTGTCACGTTATGTTATAAATCTGTGTATGTTTACTAGTAGTCTGGAGATTTCGGTTCTGTTTCAAGAAAATAGATCAAATTTTAGGCCACCTTGTCTTTTTAACTAGGACAGCTTTTATCATCTTGAATGAAAATATACAGGGAAGTTTTTTATTCAGAAGAAAAATTGATTATGACGATAATGATTTAAGATGATTATTATTATAAAAAGTATGGTGCCAAGATCTTAATTCATTAATGATTAGGGCTTTATCTGAAGCCCAGTACTGGTTTTTACCGTCAAGCTTTTTGCTGCTTTTGTACATATTTGCTTGTTACGTTTAAGGCTGTGCAAGGGGAAAACCAACACTGTTATTTTTGTACTGGCGTAGGAACTGAAACAACTTAGGATGATCATGTACATGTACGTAAACCTCTTATAGGTGGAATTTTAAAACAAAAAGAGGTTCACCCATTTGGGGTGTATTGCTTTTAAGTATACCTTAGATTTTTATAGCGGATTTAGAGAATCCAGGCTATTATTTTTGGTATCAATCACGCCAAATCTTAGCAAAAGGGTAATTTTTCCAACTAGATTGTAAGTGTTCAGACCTGTCATATTAGAATGTGCATTTCCGCATTTGCTGTTATTGAATTGGAGAAGAGGTTTGGACGAGGGGAACAGTTTTATAATTTCTCCATCTAACGCCCTTGGTCGGTCGTAGAATACTGTACCTTGAATCATTTCACCATTTTTACCTCAAAAACAGTCCTTTTTTTCTGACTGTTCAATGCTTTTTTTTCTGATTTATGCTGTCTAGATTGAGTATTTGTCCAACTTTAATGGGTAATTCAGAGTTAAAAAAAAAATGAAGATTTTTTTTATTTTTTACTTTAACTTGATCAGGTGTTCAACCTCGTCATGCTTAAGGAGACTAAAAGTATTCATTGCAAAAAGCTGTCATATGTGGCTTGAACAAGACTGTAAGTGTGTATTACTTTGTTTTTCAGAGCTGTATAATATGTCTGCCCATCTTCTTAGATGAGGAAATATTATTATCAGTGGTTAGTGTGGGCATTCTGGATGTCCAAAGCAAAATTTGGCATTGTAATTTCAATATAATCTGTTTTATTTCATCCGAAGTCATGAATGAGAGGTGATTTTTTGCTCTTGCCTGAAAACTCATCAAACTTTGATCCAAACGGAACAAAATTATTTAGCCATTCTTTAGAAAGGCTTGCACCTTCTCCTTGGATCTGCTGATTTCCTCGTTTTTTACTTCTCATGAATGCCATTACAAATTAAAAAATACTTTACAAAGTGTTTTGTAATTTGGAGTTTCCTCGGTTTTTTAAAATTCCCAGTTGCATGCCTGTTTAGATACCACGTTGAAACTTAAATTTGGAAGAAGGATATAAAAATGACATTTTCGCAAAACAAATGTTTAGAATGATAGTAAAAGGTTACTGGTTATGTCTTTGGCCCTCTCTGATTGGCATGATTAAAAAGTTTTGAGGGATTTTTTTCCAGGAAATTAAACATACATGCACAAAGGTACTTTTCTCAACCAGTCTGCTTCCATATATTATCTTAAACTGCTACATGTAATTTCAAAACATGTTGAAGGCTTTTGTGGAAGCAAAATTGTAAAAGAAATAACCGTTGTTTATATAAACAAAAATCTGAAATGATTTATTTTACAGTTTTACAGCTACTTTAAAGAGAGAAAGAGCTATAATCTAGAAAGACTTTAGGATTGTCCATACAACTGACAGTGTAACCCATACATGTACAAAGTGTGCATTCTCAACACGTTATTATTCTTGTGTGTATATAAAACAAGGAAATTTATATATAAGTGCATTTTTCTGTTTTTGTTTTTGTACCAAGACACATACATTTATGTGTCTTAAGCGCTGTGTAAAGAGCTTCGGACAAAACGATCAAAGAGATTTTTTGTTCCAAAAAAAAAAAGAAGAGTGTATATAGCTGAGTTTCTTTTGAAGAAAAGTTTTAAAACATGACAAACCAGATACAGTATTTGATAAGATTTTATAAAATCTTAAAACTATATTAAGTTTTTGGGGATGCTTTTTTTCTTCCAAAATGCAGGACTGATCAAGTTAGCACTTAAAACAATTAAAAACAAGAAATGGAATGAGTTTTTTTGGGGGGTGGAAAAAAAACACACACAAAAACAGCCTTTGTTCAGCTTGTGAATTAGCTTTGTTACTATATAACCGTGAAAAATATTCAGCTTAAAACACCCCCAGACTACACCAGATCATGTCAATACATTGTATTCGAAGAATTGAATTTATGTATGTTTCGAAACGTAATGGGCTTTCACATTCTGTATTTTGAAAGGAGACGCATTCATGTCAGTTATAAAGTTTTATCCAAAGTAATTATTTTCTCTGTGTAAACAGAAGCATGTCCAGTAAAATGGAAGAAGTTGAGACACGGATTGTAAATGACAAATTATAATGTATTCAAAAATTGCTGTATGACACTTTACAACAAGCCACAACAGTGATAAAGACTGGACATTATGTTATGGAATTACAAGACATCAATGCCAGTGTATGTAAACATTATTTTTAGTTAAAGGGATCAACGGAGCAAAAAAAATGTGCTTTGATATTTTTTTTGGTGTATAAATTGTCAGTTATGCTGCAATGTGTTCAAAAAGAGATTTCGTAGGTTACAAAACTAATCCGTATTTTAAAACCCACAAACATTCTTTCTTAGAAAACACCATGGTTTCTTTATGTATCATTGAGTCCTTTTTCAAGCTGTTACAACCCACGAAACTTAAAGAAATTGATGAAAAATTGTAAAGATTTTATTTGACAAGTTCCACTAAGTGTTGTATATGTTAACTTGAATGGAGTTCATGTAACAGGACTTTTGTGCAAACATTGATTTTGACAAAAAAATTGTCATGAATTTGCATAGAGTGGCATTTGGACTTATCTGTTTCTTTTAAATTTCTGCTGCCGTGAAACAAAGAACTCCTGTTTTTCTGGGTCAACTTTGTTGTGTTCACTATTTCTATGACTCAACCTTGTATTAGGTGATGCACAATGGGTATATTGCTGAAAACATTTACATCCACAAAGACTTGTGGACATCCACAAATGCTTGTGGACACTGATCTTGTTGCTGACGTGTAGGTAGCCTATTGCTGTTGTGGTTGAACTGTTTCTGTTGTTCATTGTGACTATATTGTCTTGATTGGCTCTCTAAAGATGAAAATATTAATAAAAAAGGAAATATAAGTGAGACTATTTAGGGTGTCAAATGTTTCTTTTTTCTTTTTGAAAATTGTTGCATTTTTTTTTCATGACTTTGAGTAATAGAATATACAAGGCTGTAGCCTTGAGTATTTTTCTATTCATATCATCAAAGCCATACCATTTTTGAACTATTGATAACACAAGGCTATAGCTTCTTTCAAAAATATTTTACATAATTTTTTCAAATTTGAAAAATATACAAGGCTATAGCCTTGTGTCATTATTAGTTCATTTTTTGAATTTTTTTTAATAGATATTGTTATTAATAACTGAAAAATATTCATGATTGTAATAGATGTAAAATATGCAAGGCTATAACCTTGTGTTATATATAGTTCCAAGAATTATCATGATTTTAATAGATTTTGAAAAATATGCAAGACTATAGCCTTGTGTTATTAAAAGTTCAAAAATATTTAACGAGATTTAATTTTTATGGATTTTGAAAAATTTGCAAGGCTATAGCCTTGTGTTATTAAAAGTTCAGAAACATATTTAGGAATTTGATTTTAATAGATTTTGAAAAATATGCAGGGTAAGGGGTTAGCCTTGCATTTTTATCAAAATTGGGCAAAATTTGACTTTTTCTTGAAAATCTGAAATGCAAGGGGTAAGCCTTGCATTTGTATCAAAATTCGGCAAACTGACTTTTTCTAGAAATCACAAAATGTAAGGGGTTGGCCTTGCATTGTTATCAAAATTGGGAAAACTTTGACTTTTTCTTGAAAATCACAAATGTAAGGGGTTAGCCTTGCATTTTTATCAAAATTGGACAAAATTTGACTTTTTCTGGAAAATAACAAATGTAAGGGGTTAGCCTTGCATTTTTATCAAAATTGGGCAAAATTGTCTTTTTCTGGAAAATCACAAATGTAAGGGGTTAGCCTTGCATTTTGATCAAAATTGGGCAAAATTTGACTTTTTCTGGAAAATAACAAATGTAAGGGGTTAGCCTTGCATTTTGATCAAAATTGGGCAAAATTTGACTTTTTCTGGAAAATAACAAATGTAAGGGGTTAGCCTTGCATTTTGATCAAAATTGGGCAAAATTTGACTTTTTCTTGAAAATCACAAATGTAAGGGGTTAGCCTTGCATTTTTATCAAAATTGGGCAAAATTTGACTTTTTCTTGAAAATCACAAATGTAAGGGGTTAGCCTTGCATTTTGATCAAAATTGGACAAAATTTGTCTTTTTCTGGAAAATCACAAATGTAAGGGGTAAGCCTTGCATTTTTATCAAAATTGGGCAAAATTTGTCTTTTTCTGGAAAATAACAAATGTAAGGGGTTAGCTTTGCATTTTGATCAAAATTGGGCAAAATTTGACTTTTTCTGCAAAATAACAAAATGTAAGGGGTTAGCCTTGCATTTTGATCAAAATTGGGCAAAATTTGACTTTTTCTGGAAAATCACAAAATGTAAGGGGTTAGCCTTGCATTTTGATCAAAATTGGGCAAAATTTGTCTTATTCTGGAAAATCACAAATGTAAGGGGTTAGCCTTGCATTTTAATCAAAATTGGGCAAAATTTGACTTTTTTCTGGAAAATCACAAATGTAAGGGGTTAGCCTTGCATTTTTATCAAAATTGGGCAAAATTGTCTTTTTCTGCAAAAATCACAAATGTAAGGGGTTAGCCTTGCATTTTGATCAAAATTGGGCAAAATTTGACTTTTTCTGGAAAATCACAAATGTAAGGGGTTAGCCTTGCATTTTGATCAAAATTGGGCAAAATTTGACTTTTTCTTGAAAATCACAAAATGTAAGGGGTTAGCCTTGCATTTTGATCAAAATTGGGCAAAATTTGACTTTTTCTGGAAAATAACAAATGTAAGGGGTTAGCCTTGCATTTTGATCAAAATTGGGCAAAATTTGTCTTTTTCTTGAAAATAACAAAATGTAAGGGGTTAGCCTTGCATTTTTATCAAAATTGGGCAAAATTTGATTTTTTCTTGAAAATCACAAAATGTAAGGGGTAAGCCTTGCATTTTTATCAAAATTGGAAAAAATTTGTCTTTTTCTGGAAAATCACAAATGTAAGGGGTTAGCCTTGCATTTTTATCAAAATTGGGCAAAATTTGATTTTTTTCTTGAAAATCACAAATGTAAGGGGTTAGCCTTGCATTTTTATCAAAATTGGGCAAAATTTGTCTTTTTCTGGAAAATCACAAAATGTAAGGGGTTAGCCTTGCATTTTGATCAAAATGGGGCAAAATTTGTCTTTTTCTGGAAAATCACAAATGTAAGGGGTTAGCCTTGCATTTTGATCAAAATTGGGCAAAATTTGATTTTTCTGGAAAATCACAAAATGTATGGGGTTAGCCTTGCATTTTGATCAAAATTGGGCAAAATTTGACTTTTTCTGGAAAATCACCAAATGTAAGGGGTTAGCCTTGCATTTTGATCAAAATTGGGCAAAATTTGTCTTTTTCTGGAAAATCACAAATGTAAGGGGTTAGCCTTGCATTTTGATCAAAATTGGGCAAAATTTGACTTTTTCTGGAAAATAACAAAATGTAAGGGGTTAGCCTTGCATTTTGATCAAAATTGGGCAAAATTTGTCTTTTTCTTGAAAATCACAAATGTAAGGGGTTAGCCTTGCATTTTGATCAAAATTGGGCAAAATTTGACTTTTTCTTGAAAATCACAAATGTAAGGGGTTAGCCTTGCATTTTGATCAAAATTGGGCAAAATTTGTCTTATTCTGGAAAATCACAAATGTAAGGGGTTAGCCTTGCATTTTGATCAAAATTGGGCAAAATTTGACTTTTTCTGGAAAATCACAAATGTAAGGGGTTAGCCTTGCATTTTGATCAAAATTGGGCAAAATTTGTCTTTTTCTGGAAAATCACAAATGTAAGGGGTTAGCCTTGCATTTTGATCAAAATTGGGCAAAATTTGACTTTTTCTGGAAAATCACAAATGTAAGGGGTTAGCCTTGCATTTTTATCAAAATTGGGCAAAATTTGTCTTTTTCTGGAAAATCACAAATGTAAGGGGTTAGCCTTGCATTTTGATCAAAATTGGGCAAAATTTGACTTTTTCTGGAAAATCACAAATGTAAGGGGTTAGCCTTGCATTTTGATCAAAATTGGGCAAAATTTGTCTTTTTCTGGAAAATCACAAATGTAAGGGGTTAGCCTTGCATTTTGATCAAAATTGGGCAAAATTTGACTTTTTCTGGAAAATCACAAATGTAAGGGGTTAGCCTTGCATTTTTATCAAAATTGGGCAAAATTTGTCTTTTTCTGGAAAATCACAAATGTAAGGGGTTAGCCTTGCATTTTGATCAAAATTGGGCAAAATTTGACTTTTTCTGGAAAATCACAAATGTAAGGGGTTAGCCTTGCATTTTTATCAAAATTGGGCAAAATTTGTCTTTTTCTGGAAAATCACAAATGTAAGGGGTTAGCCTTGCATTTTGATCAAAATTGGGCAAAATTTGACTTTTTCTGGAAAATCACAAATGTAAGGGGTTAGCCTTGCATTTTTATCAAAATTGGGCAAAATTTGTCTTTTTCTGGAAAATCACAAATGTAAGGGGTTAGCCTTGCATTTTGATCAAAATTGGGAAAATTTGTCTTTTTCTGGAAAATCACAAATGTAAGGGGTTAGCCTTGCATTTTGATCAAAATTGGGCAAAATTTGTCTTTTTCTGGAAAATCACAAATGTAAGGGGTTAGCCTTGCATTTTTATCAAAATTGGGCAAAATTTGACCTTCTTTAGAAATCACAAAATGTAAGGGGTTAGCCTTGCATTTTGATCAAAATTGGGCAAAATTTGACTTTTTCTGGAAAATCACAAATGTAAGGGGTTAGCCTTGCATTTTTATCAAAATTGGGCAAAATTTGACTTTTTCTGGAAAATCACAAATGTAAGGGGTTAGCCTTGCATTTTGATCAAAATTGGGCAAAATTTGACTTTTTCTTGAAAATCACAAATGTAAGGGGTTAGCCTTGCATTTTTATCAAAATTGGGCAAAATTTGTCTTTTTCTTGAAAATCACAAATGTAAGGGGTTAGCCTTGCATTTTTATCAAAATTGGGCAAAATTTGACCTTCTTTAGAAATCACAAAATGTAAGGGGTTAGCCTTGCATTTTGATCAAAATTGGGCAAAATTTGACTTTTTCTGGAAAATCACAAATGTAAGGGGTTAGCCTTGCATTTTTATCAAAATTGGGCAAAATTTGTCTTTTTCTGGAAAATCACAAATGTAAGGGGTTAGCCTTGCATTTTGATCAAAATTGGGAAAATTTGTCTTTTTCTGGAAAATCACAAATGTAAGGGGTTAGCCTTGCATTTTTATCAAAATTGGGCAAAATTTGACTTTTTCTGGAAAATAACAACATGTAAGGGGTGAGCCTTGCATTTTGATCAAAATTGGGCAAAATTTGACTTTTTCTTGAAAATCACAAATGTAAGGGGTTAGCCTTGCATTTTGATCAAAATTGGGCAAAATTTGACTTTTTCTGGAAAATAACAACATGTAAGGGGTTAGCCTTGAATTTTGATCAAAATTGGGCAAAATTTGACTTTTTCTTGAAAATCACAAATGTAAGGGGTTAGCCTTGCATTTTTATCAAAATTGGGCAAAATTTGACTTTTTCTTGAAAATCACAAATGTAAGGGGTTAGCCTTGCATTTTTATCAAAATTGGGCAAAATTTGACTTTTTCTGGAAAATAACAAAATGTAAGGGGTTAGCCTTGCATTTTGATCAAAATTGGGCAAAATTTGTCTTTTTCTGGAAAATCACAAATGTAAGGGGTTAGCCTTGCATTTTGATCAAAATTGGGAAAATTTGTCTTTTTCTGGAAAATCACAAATGTAAGGGGTTAGCCTTGCATTTTTATCAAAATTGGGCAAAATTTGACTTTTTCTGGAAAATAACAACATGTAAGGGGTTAGCCTTGCATTTTGATCAAAATTGGGCAAAATTTGACTTTTTCTTGAAAATCACAAATGTAAGGGGTTAGCCTTGCATTTTTATCA